AAAAAATTGACAATGCGATCTGATTCAGTTTTGACAACAGGAGATGGCAAAATTGACTGATTTATTTGTATTAAAAAAATTAGTGCAAGACCCAGACTGAGTGCTGAAGCTACGCCAATGTTAGATTGGAAAATAGCGTCATGCTTTATGAAAAAAAAACGTACGTACCGGTCATTTCACACTGTCAGTACCTTTGATATTTCCTTGAAATCCATGTAATGATCTCAAGGAGATTAAGTAATATATAGTAGTTAATAAGATTTATGATGTGTCTAAGGCAAAATATGATGGTTATTTATTAGTTGGGGTACATACTGTCGTGACCACGTTCTGGCATGGTCTCGAAAAATATTGGACACATTTCAGAAAAGTACTCACGTTGAAAAATATCAGTGGCACATCATTTTTTTTTGTGAGAAGTATTACGAAACGTTTGCCAGGACGCCACTGGCGCAGAAGTGAACTAAAAGACTTCTACTTCACACGGCAATTTGTGCTTAACAAATCGCAAAAATTTCAAAAACGAGATTATGTCTTTCAGACTTTAAATGACGTCTACAGGGCGGCCAATATATAACTGACTGATTCAAATTTTTTTGACACACGCATTTCAGTAGCTGGCACCGTAGTAGTTGTTTAAAGCACATGTTTTACTTAAAGAATGAGTCGATTGTTGCAACGATTCGGAAGCTACGACAAGATTTCGGTCGAAATAATGGGCCAGTGTCAACACCATTCGTCAATTAGTGCGTTAATTTGAACAAACAGGTGAAGTTGAGGACTTGCCAAGGTCAGGCCGTGTTCGAACTGTTCGTATTCCGACAAATATCGAGAGAGTTCGTGAAAGTGTAGTGGAGCGCCCTGAGACGTCTACCAGACATCGTTCTCGAGAACTGGGTATTGTTCGCACCTCATTATGCACTATTTTAAAAAGACTTGCATTTGCAGCCTACAAACTGCAGTTAACCCAACAACTACAGCCTAGTGACCATAAAAGTCGCCGACAATGCAGTCATGCAATACCCAAAATAACGATTTTTACCGACAACTGATAATGAGCGATGAAGACCGCTTTCTGGCTCCTCAAATCCAACAATTCAATCTGCAAAACATGTGGTTCCAGCAGGATGGAGCAACTTGTCACACAGCTCCCGGTTTTTTTATGAGATTTTTGAAAAATAGGGCTAATGCCAACAAACCACATACTGTAGAGCAGCTGAAGAACGATAAGCGATTGAACATATTCCTCCCGAAACCTACCAAAAAGTGATGGCAAATGTAATCAAGAGTTCTCAGGTTTACGCGGACATTTGTCTGATATTATTTTTCATACATAATTTCTAACTTTCAATAACAGATGAAGATGAAAAAAGGACGTATTTTATTTCATTCCACAAATATTCAAGATACAAATCGGTCAGTTACATATCGGGCACCCTGTATATCAAGAAAAACTAGTCACTCGTTTTTGTCTATCTTTCTGACTGTTTGTACAGTATGTATGTATGCCTGCACGCTAATCCTCAATAGCATGAAAATTACTACTCGAGGTTTGAATAAATCTTTATTATGCTAAGGACGAAGAGGCTTTATAGCTTTTGAAAATTTATCCAGTAGCGGCGGTGCTACTGGCAAAAAACTAAGGAAGTAAAAATTGCTACTCCACTTGTTTACATTTCATTGACTTTCGCTCATTTTCAGCAATTTGGAGGGAGGATATCAGTAAAAACGTTATATTATTAAGTCCTACATATGTGAAATTAAAATGTTGGTAAGTTCAAAATGACGGTACAGATTAACACGTTTTAAGTAGTCCGTCCGACCTCCCAGTGGTGTCTGTTCATTCTGGGTTGCCTTACCGGCCAGCACCACTCTTCCATATTTCCACAGTCCAGGATGGACCTCGCAACACCTAGCTAGGGCTTTTTAAATAAGCCGAACATAAACGATAGTAAGTACCAAAATAGAAGAGCATGGCAAAGATCAACGCACGCCTCTGCTAACGTCTTTGAATACATTTGGATCCGCGTGCACCGATCAAACAAAGCACACCGCGTTTGCATTGGCGAGCGATGCACAGATTCTGGCCCCGCCTACGAGATCTGCCGGGTGGTACTTCTGCGTTCGACAGTCAGAGACCGTCTACCACCTACGAACAATCACAACATCCATAGCCAAGAGAAACATTTTTCTTGGGACGGGATTCGAACCCGTACAGCGCACGGCGACTGATCAGAAGACCGAAGAGTCTACTACTGCGGCCACCGCTGCTGCCTATTATGACAAAATTGCGTGGGTCTCAAAGTCAACCTGCTTGATTCCATTTTTCCCCCAAAAAAGGACTTTCCTGTCCCAAAAAACATGATAAGTTATAATTATGTTAATTCGATTTCAAAATAGGTTAAAAAGATTACATGACAAATTTAAAGAAGGTTATATGTACTTCCAAGCGTTTGCATTTTTCCCAAAGTCGGGAATAAAACTAAAGTAATTTAGAAGTCAATGTTAGGTCGATGAGGCATTTATTACTAATAGGTAGTATGATATAAACAACTATTTAGGTCATCTTGTGGTAAAATCGTGATAATTTTGACCTATAAAATTATATGATCCTCAAAAAACGGATTTTCTGGACCCGCTAATCCCCCGGGTCCCGACGCACAGTGCTTCATATTAGATCCGCCCCTGGTTACCACGATAATTACTAGTTGCCCGTAACTGAAGCATTTTATCGCACATGAAATGGTAGCAAACCAAACAGCGCAGCTAGTCACAACAGTAGGTTTATAATCATAAAGACCGTACGGAAATGCTCAACTCGCGATATGAGACTTTTTTCCCGAGCACAACAGAGGTTACTGAAATTCATCAAATAATGAGACATTTTGGCTGCTCACGTATGGGAAGCTAACAATGGTGGCATAATTCATTTTATATCGGTATAATTTAACTACCTATAGTTCAAAAGTCATATCCTTCATGTTATTGGAGTATTATGAGTGTTCGGTAATTTCCTGGTAAAAGCCTAACGTCCAGGATCGTTACCACACACATACCGTATGCCATGACTATTATACAACTGAGACCTTTCAGTGAGTTTGCACGACAGGACCAACTGAGCGTTGTCCATTCAACGGTCTAAATGGTATCTAATTTGGGTGATTTGTCAAATCAAACATACAGTTAAGTCGAATCATCAGCCCAGTGTTGCCTTTCAAACTACTTATGATTTAGTGGTGTAAACTAAAAATACCATGGTTGGCTGTCTTTTAGTCGGACGGACAAAAGCATCATGTCTGATTTGTTCAATGGCAAGTAGATCACACCTACTATGCAGCCAGAATCGTCAGTCATCTAGTGGGCACGTGGTGAGTGGGCTATTAAACGCGAACTGAGATATTTATAGTTCCAGTAAATAGCGGCTATGCAGTCCCAGGAGTCGTCAATTCTACTAAGGTTGAAAAAATACCAGCCCCAAATATCGTTCGAGACGAAAGCCTAAGTCCGCCCTTGAGATAGTGGGTGGTATGAATAAAAATGAAGTACCTTCTAATACTACAAGTATTAGCATTTTCTACAAAGTATGTACTTCAAATCTGAGAAGAAGCTACATTTTCAAGTAGATACTTTTTGTTTTACCGGAACTTACTATATCAAGTAGTATTTACTGAAAGTACCTACTTCTTGTAGTAGATGCTACTAATTTGAAGAGGAATTTAGTATATGCTTGACTTTTGCGAAGTTGGTATAAGTGCAACTTCAGAGAGAATACTACGGTTAGTTTTGTTTAGTTTTCTTTGAAAATGGAAGGAATACGCAGCAGAAAAATATATAATGCAAGACGCCGCTATCATAATGATATTTTATATCATAAAATATTTCGGTAATTTAACAATAATATTATTATTGTTTTTAATTACGTATCTTACCTAGCGAATATATTTCTCCCAGAAGTAAATGAAACTCGAGGCGGTGCTCTTACACACATCCAACAAATGGAAGTATTTTTAAGAAGCTTAGGTATGTTTCAATAAATGAAATAGGATAAATAATCTAATTTTTATATCTTTATTTCAGGAGACCCTGGATTTCAGCTAGGCGTTGGACTTGATGTTGGGATTCATCAAACAACCGTTTCAAAAATTATTGATAAGGTATCACGTGAAATCTGTAGCAAGAAAAATCAGTGGGTTAAATTCCCTGCTACGGGAACTATGTTCAACAGAGCTAAAGATGAATGGGCAGCACATAATACAATACCTCATGTCATTGGCGCCATTGACTGCAAAATTATAAAACCATATGTACATGGCGATGAATATATTAACAGAAAAGGAGTTTCTACAATAAATGTACAAGCAACATGTAATAGCAGAGAAATGTTTACCAGTGTTGATGCTTCCTGGCCTGGGTCTGTTCATGATTCTAGAATATGGTACAATAGTCCTATTTACCCTATTATGTATAATAATCAAAAAAGAGTTTGTCTTTTGGGTGATTCTGGATATGGTGTAACTCCTTGGATGCTTACACCTTTCAAAGATCCCATAACAAACATTCAAAAGTATTTTAACAGAATACATGCAAGAGAACGTGTGATTATAGAAAGATGCTTTGGCCAGTTAAAAACAAGATTTCCTATGTTGAATTATACAATCCGACTTAAAACAGATAGAACATGTCGATATATTATGTGTGCATTTATTTTACATAATTGTGCAAAGTTTTTGAACGATCCAGATGAACATTTTGATGAAATGAACATAGAAGAAGAAGCAGTTATGCCTGAATTATATGCCGAACCAAACAACGGTGAAGTCCGACGCCGAGGTATCCAGTTTAGAAATGAAATTGCAACACTAATGTACAGACAGCGTTGAAAAAGTAAATAAATATTTGGATTGTTTGGATTTTATACATATTTATTTTATGAAGGTTCTGACAAAATAATTAAACCTAATAAACATGTTATACAAATAATAAACATAAACCTTATTTCTCTTTTAACAAAAAAAACATATTAATCAGTAGGTATTTTTGAATCCAAATGAATTCAAAAGCTCGCCTGTTGTCGTGCAAAGTAATCTTCTACGAATTGCTCTACAGCTCCTGCGGCCCTTTCGACAGCTAGAGCGGCCTTTTCTTGAGCTATAGCAGCTTTTTCTTGAGCTGCGGCAGTGTTGATTTGTTGAAGTAGTAATTTCTTTCGTAATTTAGCCATTAATTCTTTATCATCACAAACAGGTATTTGATTCTCTTCATCGGTCAATGATATATCAACGTCTTGACTGGTGCCCGCAGTTACACCTCCTAAAACATTATTAAATTAAAAATTTTGCACCACAATAGTATTATGATTTTATATGGAGGAAAAGTGATTTTATGACGAGCCTGAATTAGACAGCCATGAAAATTAACTTCTCCTCCAAGTAAAATATGCTGTTTTTCTTCAAATGTCAAGAAATTAATCGCGGAAAAGTAAAAAGTGAAGCTCCGGCTGATGAAAAATAAAACTTCGTGGCCGCATACAAGTCAAGCAATAAATGATTTACTGACGTTTGAAGAAAAAATATATAATATCAAATAATACAGTACCTGGCACTTGTTGAATTACTGGATTCTCACTCCCATTCCATAGGTTGAAAAATTTTTTTGCCACTCATTTAACTTAATTTTCCTATTTCCTGTTTTCTTCATATCGGTAATATTTTTAATTTTATTTTTCATATTATTAACTTTTTTTAATACCTGTTTTGCATCTAAATTTTGTTTTGTATTTCTGTTATACGTCTCTGTGAATTCTTTAAGTGCTTTGTCTTTGGCAGACTTAACGGGAGGTGTCATTTTTTTATCCAGAATAATTTTGTAGTCTTCTAACATCGTAACAAAGGCTAACTGCAAATCTTCATTTTGGGACTCTCCTTGATTTGGCATTTCCTCGTCGGAAGACATTTTAACGCGCGTGCCGTACAATACCAAGTATGTGAATATTTCAAATAAAATAAAACAACAAGTGTGACCTGTCGAAACTTGTGGAAATGAGAAGATGCTACTCAATTTAAAGCATTTACTTCGGAATAAAAGTAGATACTACAGGCACGATAGTAAGTACTTCGACGTAAAGCAAATACTACCGGAACTGATTGGATACTTCATGGCGAAGTATTTACTTTGAAGTAGATTCTTAAAATTGTAGTATAAGCATCTACTTCGTTTTTATTCATACCTCTCAGTGCCTACTACAATACGTTAAGATGTTATTAAGATCCAGGTTAATTTTATACGATGCTTCATGAAAGTCGGATCCATTAAGAAATGTTAGTTGTGTATCGTCAGCATACATTTGAACGTCACAATGTTCTACACACAATAATAATAATAATAATAAAACATCTTTATATATATTAACGATTATAAATATGTAAAAGTAATATATCTACCTAGATATACTAAAAGTAAATATTAAAAATTTAATCATACATGTGAATGTAGACAGAAAAGCAAACGTTTTGCGAAATGAGTGGTCAAACTATGTAACTGAGTACTTTTATAAAATAAATTGTTTAATTTATTTTTTAAAGTCATGGTAATTTATTGATTTTAATGGCAGAGGTATTTCATTATAAAGTGTTATCGCGTTGTATGTGAAGCACGTATGAAAGAATGAGGCTTTGTGAAGAGGCATTGTGAGTATACCGTATGTTTCTTGAGTGAATAGAATTTCGAGGGATCAGCTTGTTCTTTAAAAACGAGAGGGAATCAAAGTAGGCAAGAGCTTATGAGTGTAAGTTAATAAGTGTAGCTCATATAGCCCTCTCACAATTCTAAGTCTCTTAAAGAACCGCTTATATGGTCATATTTTCTTAAATTATTTATTTATTGAATTTTTGTAAACGTGAAAGAGATATTGTATCTAAAAATGGATTGTAAACTATATCTAGATCGAATACGTTGTACGATATGTGAACCGCTGTTTTATACTCAGTAATCCCAATTCAATATTACATAAAATACTCTAACTATTTCAGAATAAAAAGTTAAATCTGACCGCAAAGGGTTAAGCTCTGTAGAACCTACTTTACATTCATAAGCAAAAAATCAATTCATTCCACGTAAAAAGCATATTCCTGAGCAGCCAAGTAACAGAGCATGCAATTTGAGCATAGGAGAAAAGCTGGAAATGCGATAGGTATACATAGTCCCGCTGGTTGACACCCCGACCCGATGTAAAATTGTCACTGAGCCAGCGCGGCACGCCTAGATGGGCGACAACCTCGAAGCATCCCCCCGCCCAGATCCTCCCTTTCCCCAACACACCCTCAGTTGGCGACTGTCCCCCCTTTCACAACTCCAGCAAAAACCTACCTGCATGGCAAGCTTGTGCATCTGGTAACCGGGTGTATGCACCAACTATCTTAACTTATTTTCTATTTTCGGGAGTAAGGGAATGGGCTATTGATCTGACGCGACTTTGGAGCGTGGAGGGGAAGGGGTTCCCCTGTAACTGTACTTCTCGCTAGCAGATGTCGCTCTCTATCCGGGCTTCTAATCGTGCGCGGACGACGCGAAGTTACGGATTTTGGACCTTGTCTCGATCAGTGCAGTGCAGTGAATTAGGGATGTTATCGAGCTGCGTAACCGTAACCGAAACAAATTTCTATCCCTAACTGTAAAATAATCAGATACAAAAGTTTTGAATAATTTTGGATACCCATAAAAACCAACTTTGAAATCGCGTTAACGAAGTTGACGTATATTATATTTAGCGATAATATGAATATACAACGCTTAAAGTGAGTAGTTATAATGATTGAATGAAAAACACCCATGTCACATTCTTTTAAAAATGCTTCTACTTCCTACGCCTAATGGCGATGAAGTGTTGTAACCGCGAAAAATTTCGAAAATCAAATATTTTGTTTTTAGATTATATGACATGTACAGTAATGGACAAAAGTATATAGACAAATTAATATTGTGCTGTATTTATTTTTTAACTCGTTTTATTAATACACCAACCTATATACATAATTCGTTATAGCATAATACTCACTTATACATAAATAAATTCATTAGACTCCCTTCAATAAAAAATTAATTGAAAAAACTGGAACTATGAAGGACAAAAATATATAGACATAGCAAAACAATTATAGAAAAAAGAAGCAACGTTCATTGAATTATAGAAAACCAACCATGTTTGTGATAATATTTTGTAGCATAACCATTATTATCAATCACCGCCTGGCATCGTCTCGGCATAGATTGTAGAAGTTTCTTGATATAAGATTCATCAATCTGTCTTCACTTTGCTCTAAAGCGGCAAAAAGTTCATCCTTGTATGAATAATTTTTATCTCGTATTTGCTTATCTAAGTATTCCCATAGATTTTCAATGGGATTTATATCGGGAGACTGTGAAGGCCATTTGAGAACTGGTATTTTTCCATCCAGAAAAAATTTCTTTGCGAGATTTGAAGTGTGCTTCAGGTCATTATCTTGCTGGAAGATTGATGTTAAGGGCATATTGTCTTCCATATAGGGTAACATGACATGCTTTAGTCTATACGAACTTATCCATAATGCCATGTATTATATGTAAAGGTCCCATCCCAAACCGCGAAAAGCACCCTCAAACCATAACAGACCCGCCTCCGTGTTTGACAGTGGGCAAAGTGTACTTGGGGTTCAATCTTTGTCCATTAGGACGTCTAAAGTAATGAACATCATCTGATCCAAACATATTGAACTTGGATTCGTCACTGAAACATACCCTCTTCCAGTCACAGATGCTCCAATCAAGATGCAACCGTGCATATTGTAATCGGTCCTTACGGTTTTTCCTCGAGATTAGCGGCTTCTTACTCGGGCGACGTGCAAATAACTTCATTTAATCTAAGCTTTTATTTTTCTTAGATCTTTGGAAGAAATTACTTTTATTAATCTAACTGATCTAGCATTTAGTTTTCTAGGCCGACCACTTCTCTTAGGGGCTTCCAAGATACCTTTTTGTTTATATTTGTTCAATATTGCCCAAACTGCTTTAGGCTTCAGCTTCAAATTTTTGGCAATGTCGAGTTGACGTTGACCATCTTTGTCTAACTCAATGATCATAGTTTTCACATCGAAAGAAATTTCTGGACCACGCAGCATGGTCTTAAAATCACTCAACTTGAACACAAACTAATCCTCTTCTGACACGAAACTGTACTAAACTAATATTGAAAAGAATTTGTCTACATATTTTTGTCCCTCATAAAAAAGTGCTTATATTCAGACTTGTATTGTGTTCATTGCAGATAATGTAAAAACAAGGAATTTAGTTTTTCTACTAATAACGCATTTGTTTATGGAGCAATGCAGTATGAATTCGTTTTCTAAAAGTATTTAGGTAAATATTCATATTTGTCTATATACTTTTGTCCATTACTGTACATCATAAGAAAACATGTCACTCATTTCCGTCGGTCTGACTGTCTTCTAATTTTTGAATCGCCTATAACTTGGAAAGTAATACTCGGATTTGGATGAAATTTCCACATAAGGTTACTAAAGCGTGTCCCAAAATTAAGGCAAGTTTTGAATTAAATAGAAAACACGGTTTTAAAGGCTCCCCCAGATCAACCCGAATTATTTGCAGCGGATTAGTGAAAACGAATATGATCGGATTATTTACGTTGTATTTCCTTTATCAAAAAGATTGAATGCTAGTGTTAAAGAAGAAAAACGAGAAATGTTTGTTACGTTTTTTTAATCAAGGATCTTAATAAAGACTTTTCTGACCATGCGTGTATTGTTAGAATAATTTTATAATATCTTTACAATGATTATTATTTTCTTAAATAATTAAATTAAATAAATAATGTAATGGGTTTCATCTCCACCATTTTCGCCTTCTTCATGGGAAAGTTCATAAAATATAGGGTACTTTAGAAATAATCCAATAATCTGCTCCATTTATGTAAATATATATACACTTTACTATTTTACTATTCTCTATAGCGTTGCGAAATTACTGCTAATCCGACAAAAACGCATCTGATTGTGAACTAAGTTTCCGTGCCGATAAATACGCAGATAAATCGCACCCAAAATGAAGAAAACCGCGCTAGTTTGAACTTGTCTATTTACTGCAGTGAAAACAATATGTTGCGAATCGCATGCGATGCGAATATTCGTGGGTATTGCAAAATTTCCGCTTTGGTTTTTGGGAGCTTTTAGTCTTTGTATTGTTATTTTTCATTGAAAAATAAAGTACTTAGGATAGGGTTATGTATGGAATATCACATCAAATTTCTCATGACCTTTCTGCATAATAGTGGCTGACTTTACATAACCCCATAAGAAGAAATCTAATTGTGTTAAATCCCATGATCTAGGGGGCCAATTCTGATCATCGGAACGGGAAAGTACACAAGCAGGAAATGTCTCATGCAGTAATTGAATTGTTTCACTGGCTGTATGCAGTAAGCTACTGCTTCACCAGCCTCATTTTCAAAAAATGGTCCAATGATGCATCGAGCCCAAAATCCACAGCAAACAGTGACACGTTGTAGGTGCATTTGTTTTTCGATAATCACACGTGGGTTCTCCGAACGCTAAATACCGCAATTTTGTAGATTAACAAAGCCATCAAAGTGAAAATATGCTTTATCGATTGGGATGATTTTTCTCGGAAAATCCGCATCCACTTGTTGTTCAATAATCCATTCCACGAACTCTCTTCGCTGTTCACGGTCATTAGGCCTCAGTTGTGTTAACTGAACTTTGAAAGCATGTAGACACAGATCACTTTGCTCTAAATCACTTATTTTATAGTTTTATTGTTGTCTATCATTATGAAAAATGAAAAATGCTAGGGTTGCACTACTTTTTGAATCAGCCGAGTACTGGATACTCTCAACTCTGTGAAGCGATTAGCATTAATTTATTCCAGTTACTATCAGTATTATCAAGATTCTACTCTAACTTTTGAAAGGTATTTTTATTGTCAAAATTATGGCGACACAAAACAAACGGTTGTGCAACTCAAAGGATTTATTGCTCAAACACCTAGAGTCCACAAATTGGTAGGTACCTATACGTTTTTCACTTAAAATTCCAGATACTTTGTGGAATTCAGCAGCTATGATATTGAATTAAAATTATATCTATATTTTGACATATTTAAATGTATTTCCTATTACGCACATTTATAAAGCAATATTAACATGATAAATAATTCAAAAAGATAATTCAGAGCTTCTTACATTGGTCAAGTTTCCTGTAGTGTCCATAAAGTTGGAAAATGACAAACAAACGAAGTGTGCGATTATTTAAAAACCTTGACACATGCAAAAAATGTTGCAAACAATGTTCGGTGACACCATGAAAGCTCACAATGCTGTTTCTTGGCCATAGTACAATACTATGTCATTCTATCAAAATTCGAGCAATAATTTTCGAGTTATAAAGATGCCAAAATAGTATGTTAGGTTTTTCACGTTTTACGAATTCTTAGTGGCGAAGCGTCCATGTAACCATTGTTACCATTGGTAACAGTTAAAAATCTTAAAAATAAATATTTTATGACTAAGTACTATGAAATAATTTCATTTATTTGTTTACCAACAGCGATATGTAATAGTAATTCAGGAAATAGCAAATTAGCCCCACGAAAATAATGCGCCCTATAGTGTCTAGGTTTTGTGAACACGATGAAGCTGACTCGCCTCGACTTGGTTGTCGGTTGTTACCATTTTCATTTATGGATACAGTTGGTAGTCCATCGGGGACCGACGGTACCGGCTCGTGTCTTATCGCGGTCGCCCGACTGCGTGGGGCGCTGCGACTATTATGTGGCCTTGTTGCCATTGTTTGATCTGGTTACTCACTTCTCACTCGTTAGTAGCCGTTTTGGTTACCGGCTGTAGTGGGCGTGCATGGATGAGTGTCGCTGTGTAATAGATCAACTACTTGAAAAGTCATTCTCCTTGTATAATTTTTGAGAAAAAAGGATATCATTCAAAATGGAAGACCAACACCTATTTTAGATAATTTTAAAAAGGAATAAAAAAACGTAGTTTGATATTTTAAATTAAGGTGGCATATGGAAACTCTTGGTTATGTGGTTGCAAAAGAACAATTTGTATTGTTGGCGATGTCTTCTGTTTTATACAGAAAGAAATGGGTGGACCAGCAGCGGAGTCAACGATTTGAATAGTTTTAGGGCTCTAAAGAGGAGACATGAAATTTCTCCGTTACATGTGAGATGTGTAGCCAATTTAACTCAGTTTGGCAAAACAAGAATCGAAAGTTGTTTTAACCAAGCTTTTAGGGAGCACAATTCTAGATACCGTATGTTTTTTGGTTAAACAAAAATTACCGTTCATTTTGAAGGGGATGACTGTGACAATAGAGGAATAGAGGGAATTTTTAACATTCATTGCCAAAAAAGATTAAAAATTTTCCGAGCATCTAGAAAGGTCGACTGTTTTTTCGGACGGCTTGGATTAGTCATAGCATAAGACGGTGAGGTATATCATGTGCCCCAGACGCTCAGTTCAGGAATGATTACCTTAATTTAAAGATAGTTTAAATAAAATACCTAAAATAAGCAAAAACTTCACATCTGGTTTTGGTAACAGTTTAGGAAAACTCACGCGTCGGCACTGGAATTCTATATTCAAAAAGATTTGCAATTATATTTCCTCGACAGTTGCGTGGGAGGTTACTTGATTTTTTACATATTTCCATATTTTTGAGCAATTTTGTGAAATATGTTCTAATCGGTCAGTGATCAGGCTAATGATTTTTTTTTAATTTTCTTACGTTACATTTATCACCCGATTGCTGACTTATTTTGATTTTGTCCTTCAAGTGACTTTAAAATGACCTTCAAATGTTAAAGATAATCTTAAAGCAATCGGAATCATATCAAGATCCGAACAATATGAACATGTTTACTTAATAATCAGTGATTTTTCTGTGTTGTTTCCATTTGTTTCATTGCACTATCATGTCTAGAGTTCGCAGGCGCGCTAAATTTCACTCAAATTTCCGAGTTTAAGAGGGTGTCGGATAATCGGGTGAATCGAAAAGAAGCTATTGTAATGAGGTGTTGTCGAGCATGGTTCCAAGATGGCCGAAATCGACGAGTTATATGTACTGGAAGTCAAAGACGGACTACAGAGTGACATGATCGTTATTTGAGGCAATTAGCACTTATAAATCGAGGGCAGTTGTAAGCGGTGGTTTTAAGCTGTCAGAAGGGCAATAACAATGACAGTTTATCGCCGAATAAGGCCTTTTGGACTGTTTTCATAGTACCACCTCGGACCCCACAGCATCGTCGACAACGACTGGTACGGAGTAGGGAGAGACTTGAATGGAATATGGAATGGAACTCAGTCGTGTTCAGCGATGAGCCCAGATTCTCTTTGGGCTCACGTGATGAGCGTGCAAGAGTAAGGAGGAGACGTGGTGAAAGAATGTCCAATATTCCATCGAAGGAATCTTAATCGCACTGTGGGTGTTATGGTATGGGGTACCATTGCTTACGGCAGTTTTAATTCGAGGCTATATCCACGAAGTTTCACAACTACATCTGCTTCCCTTTTTCGAAACATTGCACGACCTCATGTCGCACGTGTTAGCTTAGACTTTTTAAAAGCGTCCGGAGTTAGTCTGCTTCGGTGGCCTCCTTGATCTCCAGACCCTTCCCCCATCGAAAATGTATGGGACATGATGGGAAGAGGGTTGGCGAAATTCGCCGCACCCTGCATAAACATTGGAGGCTCTACGAAACCAAATTCAGATGCTTGGTATACAATGCACCAAGAAGACATCAATCACCTAATCCAATCAATGCCGCGACGACTTAATAAATGTGTAGCAAACAGAGGAGCTTCAACACATTATTAGCATTAAGACGGGATATCTCAGCTATTTTGCGAAATTTCGAGATAGCATTTCAATTACTTTCTATTTATCAGTAGACCTAAGACTAAAGTATGCACCTAGCACTCCTAGTCGGTGTGGCATTTTCTACGTCATTTAGTATATGTTATGCTTTTCTTTTTGATGGGTCCATGATGAATTTATATATTTTTTCTTTATAGTAGTTTTTCAATTGTATCAATGTCTTTAATTCGGAATGAAAAATAGCGTAAGCTAACCCTCCAGCTTTTTTCTTCTTGCTAAGTCTACTATTTTGTTATACTTTGAAGGATAAAGGCCATTTATTTATTATGAAGCGACTTTCCTCAAAGAGCCACAGTAACCCCGGATTTGCGATTACCCTGTCAAAAAACCTTACTGCATCGAATAATGTATAAATGTGGTAAATACTGTATTTTAACTGCATCTTAAAACGTCCAGAGAACACCAGATTTCAAAAAAAAGCTATTGACTTACTGTCTTTGTCTGTTTTAGGGGCATGCCCTTTGCCAACGCCACTGACTAATGCTCTTTGCGAACGAATACCCGAGATTAATGTTAGGGGATGACTCGGCAAAAATCCGCAATATCCAAATTGTGCTGCAAATTTTGGCCAAATACAAAGCGATTATGAAATGCTGCAAAAAAAACGGGGTGAACTCACCACTCAAACCCTGCTAACCCTGTTAGATCAGACGAGTGGGTGTAGCGGTTACTAATGTGTTCTTTTGGATTTGTAATGCTGTATCTACTAGACCCCAGTTTATTATCAGGCAAGCAGTGAAAGTGAAATAGCCACACACCGATCGATATATGATGGAAATGGAGAGTCAATTGAAACCATAGATTTCATTTCTTTATTAGTTATGTTGATATAGAATGATATAGAACACGTCAATGGAAACAATAGTGTAAAGAATATACACAAAAAAATAAGTAGACACTTTAGTGTATGCAGTCAAAATTAAACAAACATTGAAATATAAAACAGACAAACATTTAACTAAAAGCAAACATCGAAAAAACATGGTAGACACAGATTAAAATATCGCTGTGTATAAATTATATAAATAAAATAGTTAAAATGGAACATAGAACATAAAATAAATAAGGACGCTAATTGCTGAAATTTTGATATAGGGTATAACACTATTATAAACCATATTGTCGGAACTACTTCTACTGGTCGCTTGTCAGGGTATTTGACAAGTACTCATCAAAAGAGTAATATGCTTTACTTTTTAATAAAGCCTTAATTTCATATTTGAAAATACTGAGTGGCAGGGCCCTGAGGGTGTTTGGCAATTTGTTGAACAACCTAACACCCATTTGATGCGGACTGCATTCTGTTCAAGACAATCTGTGCGTGGGAACCTGAAGGATAAGCGAATTTCTTGTTGAGTACCTGTTATGGTCGGAAAATCATCTAAATTAGACTTTACAAGTAACAACAGCTCGAACATGTACATGGATGGCAAAGTGAGTATTCCCAGCTGTTTGAAAGAAGCTCTCCAGCTAGACCTGCTGCTCAGACCTTGAAGTAAACGTACTACTCTTTTTTGCATAATGAATACTCGTTTCTTTTCAGGCTATTATGCCATATGACAAATTTGACTGTACAGATGCATAGTATAAAGTCAACAGCAAAGATTTGTCAATGAAAAAACGTAACTGACTAATGCAGTACTTGTAAAGGATAATCTTTTTACATATCTGGCCAATATGAGTATTCCCCTTTAAGCAGCTGTTTATGTGGATATCCAAAAATTTGACAAAGTCGACTTGTCGAATGGAACCATCGAGTGACTTAACCAGCATGCTATGATCGAGGTTGGAGTTTGCATAACCGAACCTAGTAAATTTAGTTAGCTTTATTTGCGTTGAGCAGGAGCCCATTATCTTGGAACCATTGGTTTGACTTTTGTAGCTCCTCAGTAGCACCGACCGCTAGAGATGTTAAATTCTTGCAATCTACTAACAAAGATTCACAAAAAATTTACACAGCAATGGTCCCAATATAGAGCTTTGCGGAACTCGCACTTCACTCTTACGCATTTCGGATCTGTGATTCTCAATTTCAACATGTTATGATTTACAAGGTCGAAAGCTTTGCTCAAATCAATGAATATCGAAATGCTCTTTTTGCCCATACCAACACTGCTATAATGGTTCAAGAACTTTATTATCGCTGTAGTAGTTGACAAATCCTTGCGGAAGCCATACTGATCTTCATTAAACAATAGGTAGTTTTCTAATATGCTACTCACATCAATAATGTGATGATGGATATGTTATTTTTTATGTGTGGGGAATAGAGCCAAAAGGGGGTGTATGTGACATACACACATTCTGGCCCCACCTTATGTATTTCTTGCCTTATACGCTGACGATACTGCTTTTGTAATCACAGGAGATAATACATCTACTTGGACTTCTGCTAGATGCATGCTTACTTATTGAAACAATAACGCTCTTGTATTAAACACTAATAAAACACGGGTTATGGTATGGTCCAATCATATAGATTCTCCATCACCTTGCTTTTAATAGGAAGCAGGGCTATAGGTTTGTAGTTGAAGGGTCGGCCTTAGATTCTTCTTTTGGAACTTGCTGGATCTGAGCCAGTACCAGATTCGTAAGATATTGGGACAACTTTCAAAAACTACAAGGCCTTTTCATCCTTGGCATAGTAGTAACCTTGTGTGAAACTTTTATCTACATGTGAGCAGACAGACAGACCAGTGGCGGATTTAGGGGGGCGCAGGGGACCTCTTTTGAAATGGGTTTCTAGCAGGCCAGATCTGTCACCTATTGAAACTTTGTGGTACGAGATGAAAAAGGTTCTACTACATCCTGCTCGTACAATCACCGAACTGAGACAAAAGCATCAAGAAATATGGGAATTTTTGCCAAAACTTGGTTCACACTATGTCCCAAAGAATTTCAGCCATAATAAAAAATAAAGGTGATGTTCAATTGTTGCTTTGTTAACTTCGCGCATTTATTCGCAAATTGTTTATTTGTTCAGATATTCTATTAGTTATAGGTCTAAGAGATTTCAAATATGTATTTTTTACGACTAGAGTGTATCTAAAATGTTTTTGAGAAAATAAATTGTTTTAGAATTAAATAGTTTCGTCATGTTTAGTTTATAAAGGCATATTTTGGTACAAATCTTGAAGTGGGCCAACTGAAGTGGGAGAGGCTCGTACATACTATAGTCCCCATCCATTTTATCACGTTAACGCTAGTTTCTTTCCTACCCTAAGAATAGACCATCTGGCAACGCTGCTGAACCACTCATCATAGGTGCCAGCCACGATACAATAACACACCTGCGGTGCTGTCAGACGCAAGGCAGCGTTTGGCGTATGTAAGTCGCCGTTGCATCATATCGTCCCAACCAATCGCGAATCCCGTCTTAAGCAAGAGTAAATGTACGGGGAAATCTTTG